CAGTGTGGTGCTTTCCTGCCCCTCCTCCTCCTCCCCCCTCCCTCTCCCTGCGCTGATCAGCTGATGGCCCTTGCGAGGGGGAGGGGGAGCGGGAGCCGAGCCGAGCGGCAGTGTGCTCTATGCTCCGTAGAGGAGGCAGAGAAGAGGTAGGGATGGGACCTTGGGGAAGAGGGTGGAACAGGGCATATCCCTTCCAGCCCCCTGCCATAAGCCGCTCAGGGCAGGGGGCTGGGAGCACCTCCACAAGCTGAGCACCCCAGCCCTCTGCCCTGACCCCCCACACACACACCCAGCCTTCTGCCCTGCACCTCCACACCCCTGAACTCCCCCCCACACCCAGCCTTCTGCCCTGTACCCCCACACCCCTCTGCCCTGACCCCCCACACACCCCCAGCCCTCTGCCCTGACCCCACAACCGCCCCACACCCAGCCTTCTGCCCTACACCCCCCACATACCCCAGCCCTCTGCCCTGACCCCCCCCACACCTCCACTGCCCTCTTCCCTGAACCCCTACACACACCCTGCCCTCTTCCCTGAACCCCTACACACACCCAGCCTTCTGTCCTGCACCTCCATACACCCCCAGCCCTCTGCCCTGACCCCTGAACTCCCCCCACACACCCCAGCCTTCTGCTCTGACCCCTGAACCTCCCCCCCCCCCCAGGTCTGGGCAGGGCCGGTTCCAGGGTTTTGACCACCCCAGGCAGCCAAAAAAAAAAAGGAGCGATCGCGATCTGCGGAAGGTCCTTCGCTCCGAGCGGGAGTGAGGGACCATTCGCCGAATTGCCGCCGAATAGCTGGACCTGCCGCCCCTCTCCAGAGTGGCCACCCCAAGCATCTGCTTGCCAAGCTGGTTCCTGGAGCCGGCCCTGGGTCTGGGGTCCCGGCTGCCGGCCCCTTGCCAGCCAGCGTCCCAACCGCAGGCCCCACTCAGCCCGCCTAGGTGAACAGAACCCCAGGCTGGCAGCGGGCTGTGTAAAATCAGCATTTTAATTTAATTTTAAATGAAGCTTCTTAAACATTTTGAAAACCTTGTTTACTTTACATACAACAATAGTTTAGTTATATAATATAGACTTATAGAGAGACTTTCTAAAAAACGTTAAAATGTATTACCAGCACGCGAAACCTTAAATTAAAGTGAATAAATGAAGACTGGGCACACCACTTCTGAAAGGTTGCTGACTAATTGCTAGACTAATTGCTACTCAGGAATGCAGGGCTCTTCTATTACAATTAAGTTTTTTATTTTGATGCCACTACTATATCCCAGTTAAATTATAACAATTTATCATCATCTTTTTTTAATAATCCCCTTTTCATAAAAAACCTAATTTCTCTTGAATGATGCCAACGTTTTCCTCTTATTGCAACAAACAAATCTCTATTTAGGAAAACAACACACTTCCCATTCACACTATGTACTGTAAACCCTTAAATGCCTTTCACTTTCGTTTTTAAATTAAGAGTTTCAGCGTTTACCAGTATGAGTCAAACTAAAAAGCAGCATGAGCACAGGTAAACACCACAACTTTTAATTAATATTTTCTCAATATTTAAATTTAAAACATAATTAAATGATAGGGAAAGAATCAATATAATGCATTGGGGGTGGGGGTAATGAAAGTGAGCACGGAGTTCAGCCTGTCACATAATTTTACACACCTAATGCTGGTCTTAAAGCGCAAGGGCAATCTGAATGAGGGAGATTTCTAGCGAGTGAAAAGTGCTATGCACAACTGTCTCCCCAATTCCTTGGAAAGAAAGACGTTGCATTAATCCCCAACAGAGAAGTGCCAGGTCTCACACATTTGGGAGGAGAGCCTCCCTCCTTTTGACAGAGCGAATCCCTCTCCCAGTGGGGGGAACAAAGATCTGGCTGCGTCTCAGAAAGAGATTTACTCATTTGTCCAGACCTGCCCTCGTTCAAATTGTCCCCACAACCTGGGACACAGCAGCCTGTGTGTGTGTGTGAATCTCTATTCTTCCCATCAAACTAGAGTCTTGGTCAGCAGCCGCTCTGGGCTACCTCCAGACTCACTAATTCAACCTGTTTTAAAATAAATACACCACACTCAAGCCAAACCTCCCCGCCCAAGCCGCTTCCTCCCTTTATACATGCGAGCGACCAGCATGGTGACTGGGCAAGACCCACTCCACTCCTCCTCTCAGGAGTCGTCCCCAAAAGCCTCCGAGCCAGGGGAGCTGCTGACTCCTTGTACCGCCCCGTAAGAAAGAGCCCCTCGTGCACTCGCGTGCCTCAGATGCTGTGTCACCGGGGACTTACAGAGGCGCTTGCAGCAGGAACCCGAAGCAGGCAGCAGAGATTCACGCTCTCTCCATGGGAGCCGCCATATTGTAACCGGGCAGCATAAACAATAACTTTATTGGTAGGGCTCAGCTGCAGGATGCACAGGCTTGGGGCACTGCCACCTGCAGGACTCCGCCTGGCAAGGGAGCCGCTGTATAGAACCGCCTGCTGCTGCTTCTCACCCAGCCTCTAGCTGCTGGGGAAGGAGAGTCAGCAGTCATGGGGGAGGGGGTGAACTTTTAAGACTCCACGTGGAGGGCGAAGGGGCTTTGCTTAGTCACAGCTCCTCTCCATTCTAGGCAGGAGATGGGAATTTTTTGTGTCAGTCTCTCACCCCCTCTGGGACTGAAGGTGGGATTCCACACGCACACATACACACACGTACGTTATAGTGTCTGCTCTGGGGATGGTATGAGATTTTGGTATACGTATGTCAGTCTGTTCCCCATCTTTAGGTATGAGCTAGAAGACAGAGGAGGATTTTGCTGTGTGCGTTGCAGGCTCTCTCTCTCCTTGGGGAGGAGGGAAGAGGATTGTACTGTGTAAGTAAATGTCTCCTTTGAAGCAATCTCCTCCTGTGTTTTTGAACTCCCCCTCAGTCAAATTATTGCCACAGTGTGAGAGAACAGACACAGTACATGGTGACTAGATTCCATAACAGTGCATTTATGGTATGGGTTTTATTGGGTTAGTTTTTCATGGCTGAGATATTCAACATATTTTTGGAATTTCTGGACAGAGTTCAGTGTACATAGGAACCCCCAATCTGTTGCAATTAAAAACCCTGTAGTCAGAAGAATTAATTTTGGAAAGTTAACCAATTCTGGGCTTTGTATCTTCCCATATTTCTGTTGGGACTTTTAAACTTTTAACCTATCTTTTTAAAAACTGAAATTTGACAAGTGAAGAAAAATTGACAATAGGTGGAAACTGAGATCACATAATATATGTAGCGATACTGGGTTCCTGCTTATTCTCTTTTCCTTCCATCAGCTCCAAAAGCAAGCAGATGTATAGGTTATGTAGCCTAATCTATTGATCTTGCAGGGTTAGATATACATTATAATACAGTGGTTTCTGAGGGGTCAGCCCCTAGGTCAGCTACAGTAGAGAGGTGGGCTTCATGCCTTCCCATAAGAAATAACGTAGGCACTTAAACCAGCTGACTCCAGGAAAGGGATTCCTGCCTGTGAATCACAGGCAAAAGGAGGCAGCCTGGACTTAGGTGCCCAGCTCTGTGAGGGGGCTGGGCTTAGGGAACAGGGCACACCCTTCTCATTGGCATTTCCCACTGGCTAGCTTGGGCAGCTCCTTGTCTAGGTGCTGGCTTTTGTGGATCTCATTTTAAGGTGCCTATCTCTCCCCATCCATTGTAGAGGGTGCCTAGGCACCTAACTTAGGCTTTGTGGATGACATTGTTCCTGTGATTTTCTAGATCGGCGTTGCGACACAGAGTGTCACAACACTTAAGTGGATCTGGGCTGTGGGGAACTGCATGTCTCTATGAGCAAATAAAGACTTCCAGACAGGATTTAATCTCTGCTAAACAAGACAAGGGAGACAAAGACAAACGCACAGCTTGAGTTCCAGTTATGGCTTTAATAACCGCCTCCTGTTTAACCAAACTGTGATTCCATATATCATGACAACTACCAGCCTCTGGATGTCCAATTCTAAGGTCCATCAAGGAGCCCTCATTAATATCTGCTGTCATGGTGGCACATAAAAGGAGATACCATTTTTAAGTAGCCAAATCCCAAAAACATAGGGCTTCATAGATTAAAATGAATATATTGAACTACATCTGGAAATCAACTGGAAACCAGTTGGAGGTGCTTATAGGCCCTTAAATAAGTGGGTAGCTATATTTTGTACTAGTGGCTGGTTCTGGTCTTTATGCAAAATAGTTACAGTAAAATATATTACACTCATATAGAAAAAGTAACTGAGTACGTACAACAATCCTTCATTTCAAAGAAAGCATTTTAAACTTATGTCCAATTCTGTTCAGACAAGTATTTTAAAAGTATCAGAACTTCCTAAGCCTAAACAGATCTCAAAAACTCCTGAGAACAGGCATTTCCATGGTATTTTGTTACTTTTCCTGGCCAGAACCCCCAAATGCAGAAACATGCAAAATGGGAACATCACAGAAATAGGAGGAGATAGAACCACCACCCCACCTGTGAAACAATTAACTTGGCTCCTTAAGTTGTGAGAAGCACCAAGGAAGGAGACAGACTCTCAGGGGGGAAGATCTGGCCCCATCTTGAGAAAGGGATGTTCAGGATTTCATATATTGGACCCCACAAGGGAATGTTTCGAATATCTAGACTGTGTGGGCTTTTTAAGGGGCCCTGAGCAGAAACGGAAAGTGAGGCAGGGTGCTGCAGAGTAACCCAGGCCACAAGGGGGCACTTAGGAACTAATGACCCTGTTACAAAGGGAAACTTTTTTTTAACAAAAGATCTCCAAACTTTTTCAAATCTCCAAAAAGACCATTAATTTTCAAATGAAGGTTCAGATCCAATATTAGGTGCTGATCTCGCACACATTTATACACCGACATTACTTAACTTTACAACTGTGAATGTTTGAAATCAATAAGACTGTTTACAATAGTCAAGTTAAGCAGGTGCAAAAATGTCTGTAGGAATGGGGCCTTATTTATCTCTACCCTTTGCCCATCCATATTTTAAATCCAAATTTATCTTCATCTGTTTCACCACTGTAACTTTGAAGCAACTTACAGTTTGTATAACTGATCATAATTTAGACTATGGTGTTCTAGTTACTGCAGAGGAGGATTGTGAAATCATGAATCTGAGGTTGCAATAAGCTTTATTTTTCTGAAGTAAGCAAGCATCCTCCCTTGCTACTACTTATTGCATCATGCAGTTTTAGATCTTTGTCACATAATTGCCACTGGGCTGTTTACTAAGTGATTCAAGTATTTTTAAACCCTTCTTACAGAGCCACTTTCTTTCCTCATATAGCTGGTTGCCGAATTCTTGTTATATATTTCAGTTGTAACTTCTGTTTCTGGTGTGGTGTTCTATTTAGTTTAATGGTACCTGTGTTTGACAGCTTGTTGACATCTCTAGGACATGATGACAAGTCTTCTCCATTGAGAGGCCTCTAATAGCTGTAATCTAAACTGCAGGCCCTGCAAGGATTGCAGGTGTCAATCAAATCCTAATCACTTCAATAGTGATCACAGCTTTTTACAGTACTACTCTGTTGTTGCAGACAAAAGGTATCACGGAATGAAAGGGTCACTAGTTACTGCCAGAGAGTTGATTAACACACCTGAAGCTTGCAAGGACTTGCAACACCCACAGGGCTTGAGGAAAAAGGAAAGGGAACAATGAGTGGGAGGAGAAGAAAAAGAAAGCCAGGAGAACAAGAAAAATGACAAACTGATGAGATAGAAAACAATGAAAAATGCATGAGGGCTAGAAAGAGCTGGAGATAATCCATCGTATTGGAAACTCTTTGGCCTGGTCTACACTACGGGGGTAGGTCGAATTTAGCTGCGTTAGGTCGATTTAAAAATGAATGCATCCACACAACCAACCCCGTTCTGTCGACCTAAAGAGCTCTTAAAATCGACTTCTGTACTCCTCCCCGATGAGGGGAGTAGTGCTAAAATCGACCTTGCTGGGTTGAATTTGGGGTAGTGCGGACGCAAATTGATGGTATTGGCCTCCGGGAGCTATCCCAGAGTGCTCCATTGTGACTGCTCTGGACAGCACTTTGAATAGGACCATGAATAGTCTGATGCACTAGCCAGGTACACAGGAAAAGCCCCGGGAACTTTTGAATTTCATTTCCTGTTTGGTCAGCGTGGCGAACTCTGCAGCACTCAGCAGCACAGGTGACCATGCAGCCCCCCCCAGGGAGGAGGATTTTGTGGATGAGAAAGAGGAGGAGGAGAATGCGCAGCAGGCAAGTGGTGAATCCGTTCTCCCCAGCAGCCAGGACCTTTTCATCACCCTGGAGCCAATACCCTCCCAAGGTGAGATCCCCGACCCTGAAGCCGGAGAAGGCACCTTTGGTGAGTGCACATTTGTAACTACAGTACAGGGTTTAAAAACAATAGTGTTTGCTTTGCCCTGAAGAACTGGGATGCATTCACGGCCAGTACAGCTACTGGAAAAGTCTTTTCACATGTCTGGGGATGGAGCAGGAATCCTCCAGGGACATCTCCATGAAGCTCTCCTGGAGGTATTCCCAAAGCCTTTGCAGAAGGTTTCTGGGGAGGGCTGCCTTATTTCGTCCTCCACGGTAGGACATTTTACCACGCCAAGCCAGTAGCAAGTAGTCTGGAATCACTGCAGCACAAAGCATAGCAACGAATGGTCCTGGGTTTCGGTCGCATTCAAGCAACATTCGGTCTATATCTTTCTGTGTTAGCCTCAATAGAGTGACCATTCATGGTCACCTGGTTGAAATAGGGGAATTTTTGTAAGAGAACAGTAAAAGGACCCCATTCATGCTGGGCTGTTTACATTTGGCTAAAAGGGATCATCCCAGAGAATAGCCACGCGGCGGGAGGGAGGGGAGAAGGGATAATCCCAGAGAATAGCCACACGGGAGGTTGGGGGTAGGTGTGTGCTGCACATCCACCCGAAAACCTCAGCCTCTCCTTTTAAATGTGAAACCCAACCCATTGCTTGCTCTGGGAAAGGAGGGCACTGCAGTTTGAAAACATTCCCACATGTTATGAAGGTATAAGCAGCCAACCCTGCGTACCAAAAGGCTTACCATGCCTGCCTGGAAAGCGAATTCTGTTGCCCAACCATGTGTGATGTGTCACCATACCGGCAGGCGCTCAATATAAAAGGCAAAATACGACCTTGTACCTAAAGCACATGTGCTGTCTGCTGTGAATTGCTTGATTCACTGTGAAAGAGTCTCCCTTTTGTTCTCAGAAATGTATCATCTTAAATTTTACTCTTCCTTTTTATCTTCCCCCAGATGCAAATGTTTCCACGCTCCCCTATCATCTCCGTCCCTGACGTTATTGCAGATTAGAAGGCGAAAAAAACACACTCGCGATGACATGTTTTCCGAGCTCATGCAGTCCTCCCGCACTGATAGGGCACAGCTTAATGCATGGAGGCATTCAGTGGCAGAGGCTAGGAAAGAATTAAGTGAGCATGAATTGCGGAGGCAGGATGCGACGCTGAGGCT